CTGCAGGCTCTGTATTTTTAGATACACCATCTGATCACAGCTAGTCATATATCAGTCCCAATACTGTGAGTCAAGATGCTGGGCTCCATTGCTGAACTCCCTTGGGCAAGAACAAGTGGCTTGAGACATCCTGGGTGTATTAATAAATCAGAGTATTTAAAATAATCTTACACTTCCTTAGGTAAGCTGCTCACAAAGAATAATGCACTTGGGAATTATTAATGTCAGCATCTTAGGAGCTCTGATTCTCTGGGGGAACTTGATACTGTTGTGAGTGGGAGAAGAGCAGCCCTGGTATGAGACAGAGCTAATCTAGGCAGGGGACAGAGGCAGCACGACTCCTCTTCCTTTCCCTCTCCTGCCAGTGCCTCTGATTCCTGACGTCTGCCCCTTGCTATTTCAGTCCTGGGTATCCTCTGAGGCGGCTGCTGGTCAGAGGGAGCTTTATGGTGGCCCCTTCAAAAAGCATCTGATCAACCTGCCTTGCAAAATAGTGCACAAATGTGGACTAGTTGGCATATTTTAAGCCTCTTGCTGGTTTTCCTCAGTCTCCACAAGTCTGTCTCTAACACCACTGCAGCCTGCAGACAATTTTCTGTGTGTTTGATCAAAGCAGTGGGAAGCCTCAGAGTTGGTGTGTGAAAAATGCCTGATTCCTGAAAGTGTATTTGTTGTGCTACTTTATCACTCTAACAAGAATCAATTTATCCACATAATTGGTAGCTGGAGACAGCATAACACAGCTTGGCAGCCTGGATTTTTCTCAGAGATGTATTGCTTGGCATATTCAAACCCAGGCAAAAGGAGCCAGCCTGGCTGCCGGGGAGCTGCAGCTCTCTGAGTGCCAAGCAGGTGAAACCCAGCATGACAAATCAGCTTTCTCTCTCTGTCCTGCCAGAAAAAGACTTTGGGGATAAAGGTGAAATTGCACCTGGCTGAATGTCTCACTTAAGGTCTCTTCCAACCCGAGCTGCTCTATAATTCTATACTTTTTGAACAAGGAGTAACTGATAGGACAAGGGGGAATGATTTTAAACTAGGATAGATTTAGATTAGATATGAGCAAGAAATTCTTCACTGTGAAGGTGAGGAGAGTCTGGACTGGGTTGCCCAGAGAAGCTGTGGCTGCCCCATCCCTGGAAGTGTTCAAGGCCAGCCTGGATGGGGCTTGGAGTGACCTGGGATCGTGGAGGTGTCCCTGCTGTGGCAGCAGGTTTGGAAGTAAGGTCCAATCTTTACGGTCCTTTCCAACCCAGACTATTCTGTGTTTCTGTGATTCTGATAAGCTTAATGATGCATTAGCCTCTCTGTTGAGATGGATAATGACCAGTTAGACTGTGGGAGGTGCAGGAATTGGTGTACTCTGCCTGCTCACTTCGCTCTGCTCAGGATCAGCTGCTGGAACATGGCCAGACCAGCAAGAGGGTGACCATAGATCCCACTGAGAGGAGAGGCTGTTGCACACTAGTGGCTCCGTGTGGTGGAGGTGTGTGACCTCCAGCAATCTCCTGCCCTCTGCACTTGAGTGCTAGAAACCCTTCATGTCATGCAAGAAGCTGGTTTTCCTGCTGAGGCTGTCTCAGTGCCCTCTCCTGCTGTGCCCAGGTACCCACTTTGCTGCATCCTTCTGAGTTCACCACTCTGAGAAGACCCTGGTGGGTCACAAATGCCAGTGCTGGCCTCTGTGTGGGTCAGTGTGCTCAGAGCTCAGTGTTTCACCTTCCTAATGCCTACCTGCAGCAAACAACCTACTCTGATGAAGGTTTTTGCAGTTGTTGATAGCTCTGAATGAAACAAAAATTTGGCAAACCTCCACAGGCATCCCTGCCCTTGTCTATGAGGCTAAAGACCACTTGTGATAGTCTCAATATGGGCCAGCTCCCCAAAGTGTCCCAAATCCATCTCTCTGGGTGTCCCATAGACAGGGTGACAATTTCAGTACATTCAGGGATGGGAAGCTGTCTGCTGGACCAGGACACTGGAAGCCATTCCCTACATTTTCAGCCTTAGAGGCATTTCCCAGAGCCTCATCTTTTTGGCAGATATTTGTAGAGAAGGTGGCTGGAGCCATGAAGAGGAAGGGACATTTGACAGTAAATCTTTTTTGCATCAATGTGAAAGAAGCCATCCTTTCTATTGTGTGGTAATGACTGTAGTGGTGCTTTTCAGGCTGTGATAGATGAGATGTACATCTTTTATAGATTATGTGTAGGAGGTAATAGAGAATTCAGTTCTTCTGTGTCTATACACTAATGGTGTATTGATCCCAGTAAATATCATGCTGAGACTGAACAGCAGCATTCCTGGTTAGTGTCATCCTGATGGGTGACATCACTGCTTTGGTTGTCACAGCCAGCTCAGCCTAATCCCATCTGACCCCCACAGCTCTTTACTGATCCTTCACTCTGGCTCTGGGCTTCACTTTTCTATTCCCCTGGTTCATCTTTCACCTCAGCACGACTGCTTCTGTCTCTGGACTTTGTCATGCTTGGCTGGACTCTGCTGTGCCTCTCTGGGATTTACTGGATGGGAAGTGTTTCCCTGCTAAGCCATCAGTAGAATTTGCTCAGCTATTTGTGATCTGCAAAAATGTACAGCTAAAAGCAATGAATTAAAATGCAAGGATGAAAAACGGATGAGAGGCAAAAGAGAGAGAAGGAAGGGTCCTTAGAGTATTTACAGATGAGTTGGCTGAGAAGTAGCAGACGTTCCTCAGAAGGGGCTGTAGATTTTACCGGGAGTCATGGGATGTTCACTAACATTTACCTTTAGGTAATAATTAGTCTCACCTCCTCCTAAACCTGGTGTCTGGACATTTATACCAACCTGCTATAACAGCCCAGGGTGGAAAGAGAAATCACAGAATCATCGAATCACAGCATGGCTTGGGTTGCAAGAAACCTTAGAGATCATCTAGTTCCAAGCCCCCTGCCATGGCAGGGACATCTTCCACTAAACAAGGTTGTCCAAAGCTCCATTCAGTCTGGACTTGAAGTCCAAAAAATCTGAACTTAGAAGGTTACTCCAATGGGGAATTTTTGTCTCTCATTTTAAAAGGGCTCAGGAATTCAGATTCCTTCCTGATTTTAGGCATCAAGATTCACATGCCCTTAATGGGTGAGGTTTCTTTGAACCCTGAGGTGATGAGCACTTGCCTGCTAAACACCCCCTTTACTTGTCTCCAGCCCCTTAAAATTTGTACTGCCAAAATCCTGCAGCACTTCTGACAACATGGAGTGCAGGATTTGGTCTTCTCCCTCTGAAAGGGGATATAGGGCCAGGACAGGACAGCCTGCATCCCTGTGAGAAGCACGTCATCCCAAGGGCATGATGCACTTGAGGGGGAGCAGAGCTGTGGCGGTGCTGTACGTGCGCCTGGTGGGATTTATTGCTGTGCTCAGCAGCCTCCTCCGTTCTGCTTGCTCTGCCTCGGAGAGAACGTGCTGTGAGAGGTGTTCCATGTGCAAATCCTCCTTGATCTTTGCCTTCTGCTTCAAAACTGGGGAAGGAAGACTTTTAGGGTGCTTTTGGCACCTTTAGGCTCTGTGGAGAGGGGAGAAATTGCTCCCTGTCTGTGTTTTATCTCAATGCACTGAGGACATGGGGAAGGAGGCTTGATCAGGGTAAAGGAAAATGCTCTGAAATAGATGAATAAAGTAGCTGCTCAATTGCATTGCTAAGTTGCCAGGTGTCCTTGTAAGAAAGGATGGGGGGAAGATGGCGATTTTCCTTCTAACTGTGGGTTGGCAGAGCTATCTGTGCACAAAGGAGATGGAAAATGTCTTAGTAAAGAGGTTTCTGTCAAAGGGAGGCTTCTGCCCTCACTTCTGCTGGCAGATGCTACAATAGGAGGACGGTGGGCATTTCTGCCTCCTTTTTCCATGGCTGCCCAGCTTTCCCCTGCTCAGGGAGAGATTTACAGAGTGAGCTGAGATGCAGCATTGCATCTAATCGTGGGCGACAGAGGTTTTCGCCCTGGTGGTTTTCAACTGGGACCGTCACGCGCAAGTAATGGGGATTAAACTTGTATGTCCACTGCTTTATTTCTGAATGGGGGAGTTTAACTTTGCAGAAGGAACTGTCATTTCCGGAAAAGAGCTGGCTTTTTGCTGAAGAAGAGCAATTGGCCCTGGCATGTGAGAAATGTTAGAGGAAAAGGCGCCTCCTGTCACCAAAACACAGCTGAAATGATTCCGAAGAGCCACGTTGCCAATTCATCACACTGCCACTGAGTGTGGGTAGTGTAAACACTGCGAGATGCTCTCTCTGTGCTGTACTGTGGCCAGACATGTCCCACTTGGCAGAGACTTGCCAGCAGACCTAGTGAGGCCATTCATCCCTTTCAGCCATCCCAGCCACTTCCCCCACTCACACAGCAATCAGAGTAAGGACATTTCCATATCATTTCCCTGGGGAAAGTTTTCTGCTTCCTAACCTTAAAATATAAAGTTCATTTTGAGCCTTCTCAGATCACTTTTTCATGGCTTGAGTCAAAAAAAATCTTATATCTAGTATCTATTCTTATATCTATCTCTACACAGGGACACTTGTGGGATGCACAGGTGTGTGTGCAGCTGGACTTGACACAAGTAATCTGTATATGGAAGTTTACCAGAAATACTCAAGTTTTCATGCAGAATCCCTCCCAGGGCTCTTTACCATCCAAACAGATGATTCAGCTTATAGAAAACCCAACATTTCCCTCGATGATGCTCTTTTCCTTTGCACCAGCTCTGAACTCCCCAACCCTCCAGCGCCTGGTGAGGAACACTATCCTTCCTCTCCAGCGCTATTCCCACCCACGTGGAGCCACCTCGCATCCAAACCCACGTGCTCTGCTCCCGACCCAGCTCCCAAGGACTCCCATCCCCATCTGGATGCCTCCAAACTCTCATCCCAGCCGGGATCAGAGCACGCTGCCTTCCCGAGCCGCAGCCGGTGAATGTCCCTCCCTCTCCCCGCTCTCTCCCAGCCCGGATCACGACTCGGGCAGGACTCACCCTGCCGGGATGAGGAATCTCAGCTGCCGAGCCCGGAGCCCGCTGCGGATTCCCGGAGCGAGTGGCCGTGGGCTCGCTCCCGGCGCTCGGAGCGGCGCGGGATGGATGATACAGGATCCAGACCTCCTTGGTTTACTTTTGCGTTGACGTCAGTGTCTTTTGGAGCCTCCACGGCTCGTTTTGGTAAAAAGGATGTCTTCAGGGGAGAGGGGAGGGGTCGGGAAGGGAGAGGAGTGAGGATGAGCTGAAGTTTTGTGATGTGAGCAGGCTGCGGTGGGAGGTTTTAGGGGATCATGCTGGAAGAAGACCAGGTAATCCTGGGTGTAGCTCATCACCTGGAGACCTGACCCTCACACAGAAATTATAGAAATCTTAGAGTGGCTTAGGTAGGAAGGAACCTTAAAGAACATCTAGTTTTAATCTCCTACCATGGGCAGGGACACTTTCCACAAGACCAGGTGGCTCAGAGTCCCATCCAACCTGGTCTTGAAGACTTCCAGGGATGGGGCATCCACAGCCTCTCTGGGAAGCCTATTCCAATACCTCACTACCTTCTACATAAAGAATTTCCCTCCCCCAGCACTGTGCAGCCAAAGTGTGTATGGACATTTTTGGAGGGTGTGGAAAGGGCTGATACTTGTGAGGGATTTGGAGAACACCATCAGGAAGCAGAGCCTGAAAGTGAGATCACTAATGCCAAATTGTTCACAGCAGATCAATCATACCTGTGTTTAGGGTTTCTTTTGGCCACGAGCAAAGCCAGATGCCTTTGCATGACCACATAACTTCCAGGAATTCCAGACCCAGGCTTTCATACCCTAAATGCTGGAGGGTTTTCTGTTGAGTAGTGCGCTGCAAACCATTGAGCACTTGGATCTCAGAGCCTCAGGTAAGGCAAATAGAGAATTTGCCCCAGTGCTGCTGCACCAACTGTAATTAAACAATTAAACCTGTGCTCTCTTTGAATCATGGATCACTTTTCCAGCTCTTAACACAATTGGTCTATCATCTATTATTAGACCATCTGTACCTTGATACAAATAATTTATTATGAACTTTTAGGAGCAGGCACTGAGATTGGTCTGTGTGAATCCAGGTACCAGACTCATTGAGAGCACCAATGACCTGATTACATTGATGTATTTGGTTTGGAGGACACTTGGCTGTGCCAAAAAAACCCTGCAGGGAGCAGGGATTATAGACAAGGAGGCATCATCTGGTGCTGCCAGGATGATTGGGCTGTACTGGTTTGTTTGGAAAACAGAAGTGAGAAAATAGATTTTTTCTCTGATGTACTGTCACTGCACAGAAGAAGAGACACAAAAAGGGAAAGCTCTTGTTGTTCAGCACATCCATGGCAGAGCCAAGTCCAGTTTCTTATCCATTGGATTGTGCACTCCCAGTCATAAATAATTCTACTCTCCAAGGTTCCCGGTGTCCTTGTCAGAACCAATACACTGTTCATGGCTGAAGAAAGACAGAGTCTTATAAAAACCAGAAAAAGAGTTCCTTGTAAATCACCACATCTATACTTAGAAATGTGTTAGACTTTTCTAAGCTTCAGTTCAGATCATATAAAGTGTTTTTTTTTCTTTTTCCGAGTTGAAAAATCCATCCAAAGGTCAGTCAGAAACAGGAATAAAACTGTCTTTCTAATCTCAAGATGCTGTAATAGCATTTTTGGCAGTGAATGATAAACTTGAGCAGTTGAGGTTTACATGACAGATGAAGTGAACATGTCTTTGTCTATACATTGAATGACCCAGCACTGGCCCTTTTTCATCTCTTCTCCCAACCTATCAGACTATTTATAGATTTTTACTACAAATGGACCTCCTGAACAGAGGAAGGCAAATCAGCTAGATCTGAAGAAAGCATCACGGTGGAGCTGTGCCCATAAAGCCATCATTCCTGGGCAGGAATCCCATTTTAGTGATAACCTCCCAGGAATATTAACTCTTCCTTTACTTGACAGGCATTTTTAGAGTATTTCACAGCTTTTAGTGAGTGTGAAGGGTTGTTCAGGGAGATCTTATGATAATATAGGTGTTAGTTTGAAAGCAAAGTGTCATATCCTGGCTAGAGCTCTCAGAGACATCCAGGAAATGAGATCTACTGCCACTACACTGATTGCACCTGGCTGCAGGAACTTGAAAGCCATGATTCAGAGATCTCAATTTGAATGAAAAGTGGACACTTCTCATTACATAGTCCTTGATGGGTAGATGATGATAACACTTAAGGATGGCAGAGATGTGGGGGCTTTTCTCTGTCATGCCTCATAGATAAGAAAGCCTTGCTGGAGACCTGCAGTCCTTGCTCTGATAACTCTGGAGGAATATATTCAGGGTCTGATTTTTTTTAAAGAATCTTAATGTTCATTAGAGTGGAGATTCTTCCATGACCTTGTCTATGGAGCTGCACAATAATGTGCCCTGTCTGTGCAGGGAGTCCTAGTGGGAACCAGGAGATTTCTACAGCAGCGAGTGTGAGTTCTCATCCCTGGATATTTTATCTTGGTAACTGAGGGTCAGGTCATGTGGATTTGAACCCTGCTGTGTATAGGAGGGACTTTGCAGTGAGAAAAAGAGTTCTCTCCCTATTTTGAGTGAGTTTCCAAGACATTGCATTAAAAAACATTTGAATAAGCAGGTTCTTCATTTTTTGTTGCTCTTCTGCAGGGCTGCTTGTGCTGAGGTTCCTCCTGGGCTGAGCTGCCACTGATCTCAGCAAGACTCAGTGGTGAGGTGGGTCTGGTGAGCAGACCAGATCTGAAAACACAGGTACTTCTATGCTTGAGAAGGTGTCTTCAGCTTCACAGTGAAAAACATTGTCAAGCCTCCCCTAGGTACACTGGAGACTTCAGGTTTCAGAGCAGCTGGTGAAAGAGAGGTTTAGGACCACAGCTTTTGACATATGAGCCTGAGGAGGGAGCTAGGGAGGCTGAAGGCTCCCAAACCTTCCAGGAAGATGGGGTCCCACAGATCCTATGCTGGGGGGCTGCAGTCTGTGGGATATTTCTTCTTCAAAGCTGAACAGCAGCTCTCCAGGCCCTGCAGGGAGGACTTGGCTGCTTCTTGCCTTAAGATGCCCTGGTACATATTCAGCTGCTCATGGCTCCAAGCAAGATGCTCCTTTCCCCATCTTCCCTCTTCCTCCAGGACAGGGGCCCCAGGCAGTGTCAGACTCATAAGGCTTCAAATATCCAAGTGTTTTAGGTACTTAGATGAGCTGATGAGCTTTCTAATCCCATGCTGTGTAGAGGAACACAGAGCAGCTGGGAGAGTGTAGATTTAGCCTGGCACACATCTGAGGAGTTTTTGAGGATGGGAGAAAATATTTACTGCAGCTCCTAGGGCTAGGAGCAAAGGTGGCTCTTGGACCCTGCAGGAGCTTGCTGTGTACTTTGAAGACATGAACATCCAAGTTATCCTGGGGAGGGAGAGCAGAATGGGCTCTCTGCTCCAACAGCTGTTTCCAAACCACTTCTGCAGGCAGGCAAATCTGCATCATTCCAGAAAGAGCAGAGGCCTCTCCAAAAGTGAACATGCAGAAGTGGAGTCAAACCAGAGTTCAGCCCTTCATGCTGCCAAAGAAATGCCTCTCACCCAGCAGAGGACAGCACACCACTCTTGGAATCCTTGTGAGCACAGTGGGAGATCTTTGCTTTAGTAGCATTTGCAAAAAGCATCTCTTTCCCAGCCATCCTGCTGTGTCCTTCTTCAGAGCCAGGCTGGGCTGTGAGAAGCATCAGAGCTGGCAGTGGCACTCAGGACCTTGTGGCCATGTCCTCATGTTGGGTCCCCAGCCCAGCCTGGCATCCTCAGCTCTGCATGTCAGGGCATTTCATGGCATGGGCCAGCATGGCTTGGCCGGGAGGAGAAAGCAGAGAAGACAAGCTTGGGGCTGGACTCTGTCTGTATGTATGGAGATGCCTGGTGCCACCTGAGATGCTGAAAAGCCACTGAGCTCACAAATCTTCAGCAGGACTTGTCCCTCATCTCCCAGCCCTGTGAGGAGTGTAGGTTTTAGTAAAACATCTCAGGTATCACTAGACATCAGAGCACAGATTCAGTCTCGTGTGAAGAATCCTAAGTGTTGTTTTCCTGTTCACTGGGTGTCCAGATTCCTGCTCCAGCCACTGGACATCCAGTCAACACAGTTGGGTAGCCTACACAGAGACTCAGGCACAAGCCAGGAGGGTCCCCAGTCTGTTGCCCACATGTAGATGCCATTTCAGAGGTGCTAACTTCACTTGTGTTTGCTCTTTATTTGCATGGGCTTCCACATGCCATGACTGAGCACCAAGGGACAGCTTCAATGGCTCAAGGTGCCACCAGGTGCGCAACCAAATTGTACCCCAGCACCATCTCCCAAGCTGAGTGGGCAGTGGTCATGTCATTTGGCCAGATGATCAATGGAGGGATGAAACAGAGCAGATTTCAGCCTCTTTTGCCCTCATTAAACCCTTGAGTAGTGCTTGAGCCGTGTGATCAACGTGGGCTGTGTTGGTGGGATGGAAGGCAAGAGGAACTGCTGGAGGTGCTGTAGCCAAACTTCAGCTCCAAAGGGAAAACTCCACAGCAAAGTTTGCAGGAATAAAGGACAGAAGCAGACAGCAAGAGGATTTGTCCATGAAGACATTTCAACACGGTCCACACAACTGTCTGGGGTAAATAACAGCTGGATTCTCACAGTGCTCCCATGCTACCCTGACCACTCAGGGATTCACTTATGTGTTTCCAAATGTGTTTTTTCCTCTTCCCTCACAAAAGCAGCTTTTTTTGTGAATGAGAGCAGGTTCATCAATGGGAAACAATGGCTCATAAAGATGTAATGATTCATTTGGAGCCCTGCCAGGGGTTATTGTTTCTCCCAGTGAGCTTTTGCCTCAGCTGGAGGTTGGATTCAGAGCCTGCAGTTTCCTTGCTTTGCCCCTCTGTGAAAGGAGCTGCAGTGTGAGGATACTGGGAACTTAGCTGAGCTCATTTTGTTATGAACTTTTCCTTTTATTCCTTTCCCATATTACAGAAACTTAGGCATGAAACCAGACCCAGGGAAACACAAAACTATACCTGAGGATTTTCCTTACCACATGAACATGTGGATATTTTTTCCCACAGTGACCAAGTGAAGTTTGCAACCAATCTGTGTCTTCACTTTTCCTTTTTTTCTCCTGTGACATGAGCAAATCTTCAAGAATCTTTAGTCAATATCTGCAAAGGCATTGGAACATACAGTACTGCAGTGCCACTGTGATAAGCATGGTGAAGCAGCCTGGTCCCATGAGCTGTCTGACTGTGTGATGGCACATCTCCTCCTTTCTGTTGTGTAGGAACACATGTTCCCTTCCTTCTAGGCTTGCCACAGTAACTACAGCTCTGAGAAAACATTCTTCTAACACCAATAAAATCTGTCATTTCAAATTTTTTAAAGCAGTCTGTTTTGTAGCTATTTTTGGGAGCTCTGCCCTGTGTAAAATTCCATGCCCATTTCAAATGCACTTACTACATTTCTTCCATCCTCATGCTCTGCCATTTTGGCTAAAATTAAGATTAAAAATAAAAGCCCAACAGCAATGTTCTGTACAGGCCAAAGTGTCTCAGACAAACTGGAAAAGCAGAGAGATTTTGAGGCTCAGTGGCCCAACCTTCAGAGCCCTTAAGGCTTAACTTTCCATTAGTCAACAGCACAGCTCATGTGGGTCCCAGTTCAACTGGTCAGAGAAGGGCACACATGACTGATTGGTTAATGGCAGATCATTTGGCACTTGGGAATTTTCCACAGTTTAACTTTTGATGGAGGAGGTTGGGTGGAACCTCCTGCTCCCATCCCTGCTGTGCAATGGGATGGGTGCCCAGCAGCACAGCAGCAATGCCAACACCAGCTGGACTGGTTCCCAACCTTGACAAGGGCTACCACAAGCTGTGTATCAGAAAAATGCCAGTTCAGTGTAAAAATGCCCCTTTGTGCACTTCTACCTTGGCTGCTTAAAGTGACTTTTGACAGGTAACATGCAATTCTTCACTGCAATATATTAAATGTTGGAATGGGCTGCCCAGGGAAGTGGTGGAGTCACCACCTCTGGAAGTTCAAGAAACAGCTGGAGGTGGCACTTAGTGTTGTCTTTTACTTGATATGGTGGTGTTAGATCAAAGGTTGCACTCAATGCTCTTGGGAGTCTTTCCCTATTTCAATGATTCTATAATTCTGTGGTTTAATTTCATATGTGGATATGTAATCGGTGACCAGCTCTGATAATACATAAGCTTGGACATTAGAGGGATTTATCTATCCTAGAGCAGAAAAAGGGAGGGAAAAATCTATTCCCTTTAATTTCCAATTTCATGGACTCATGTTCTTCCTGTCCTACTCTTGTTAAGTGTGTCCTTGTTCTCTCTCAGTCAGTTTGCTGTAAGTGTGAAGCAAACTCAAAGGTCTGTGGCTGGGATGAGGTGAGATGTTTGGAAAAGAAATAACACATTTATTTTACGTAGATCAGCACAGCCAGTGGAGGAATTGCCAGGACTTTATTGGGCCAAAGTCAGCTGGCTGGAATTAGGTGGACTTCTTGGCAATCCTGTCACGTTGATGAGTAAATGTCAAGAATCTGAACATTACAGATGCAATCCTGTGGGTTAATGTTTTGCAGCTAAATCTCCTGTAGAAAAAGGTGGAGAGGGACTTTTGATAAGGACATGCAGTGATAGACCAAGAGGGAATGGCTTTAAACTGACAGAGATTGGATATTAGGAAGAAATTCTTTCCTGTGAGGGTGGTGAGGCCTTGGCACAGGTTGCCCAGAGAATCTGTGGATGTCCCATCCCTGGAAGTGTTCAAAGCCAGTGTGAAAGGGGTCCTGAGTGACCTGGTCTAATGGGAGGTGTCCCTGTTCATGGCAGGGTTTGGAACAAGATGATCTTTAAGGTCTCCTCCAACCAAGACCATTCCATGATTCTATGACTCTATGAAAACAGTGGGAGTTTTCCTTTCTGTCCTTTGGCTTCTAGGCAGGATCTTCCCCACAAATTATGGTAGGCCATGTGTCATGCACTATGACAAGAATGCAAGAGCTCTCACAGGACTTTATGTGTCTTTACTTGAAATGCATTGGCTGTTCCTGGTCTTCTCCAGAATGGTCATTTTGGATAAAAGAGTTTCCCAAAACAATTTGTTAAAAACCAACCAAATGAAACTTGAAATTATTTTAATTCCTCTTTTATTTAAATTCCAGGTTGATTATGGCTGAGTGCTCCTCTTCCTATGTGTATCTACTGAGTAGCCTTGTCTACACCCAGAGCAGGGGGTGACAGCAACCTGCCTTGGAGGGGAAGCTCTCTGGGCTGTGTCTGAACCACAATTTAAAGTGGTCAACTTCTTGTATGAATATGGCAAACCATCAACATTCTCTGTGCTATGTGTAGGGATATGTTCCATAGACAAATCCACCTGTGAGCCTGAGTCTGAAACATGCAAAATTTCCTGTGATGATGCAAAGGAGCCCTAAAAGGATCAAATGTAGTAATTTTTTTTTGTAATCTCTACTCTGGCATGGAGGAAATAAAGGTAGTAACAGAGAAAGTAAGAAGGGTCTGGTGGTAGTGACAAAGTTATGCTCTCAAGGAAACTGTTCTCTAGAGCTGGAGGCCACATTCTGAAGTTGTGTCTCTGTCTGTGGGTGGACAGGAGTAATGCCTGAATCATGCATGGGGTTCTGTTTGTTTCCTCTGCTTCAGTCACAGCTCTGCAGTTTTTTCACCCTCCCCTCCCACCCGACTGCATGTTTCTCCTACCCCATTTGCACTGGGCAAATGCTGGAGTCGGTTCCTAGGAACTGACTGAAGAGAATTGGAAGTGAAAGGGTCTTGGAAAAATGAAACATTCCTTAATCCCATGCTGGAGCAGTTCCTCAACCAGCCTTTCTGCAGAATAGGAGCGTGGGAGCTCATGTGTGCTCAGGAGGTCGTGGTGGGTGAATCAGGACTGGCCTTTGCTGCAGCAGTTTGAAGATGACTGCAAGGCCACACTTGGGCAGATGCTGCTAAGGACACAGTGCCATGAGTCATTACCCTTCTGAGCTCAGAAAATGATTCTTTTCTGATGTGCCCTTGGCCTCTGACATCACTCCCTGTGTGCTGTACCAGCCTGTTGGAGGGGATGTGCTGTGCAAACTTGGCCCCATGTGCACTGAAGCATTGAGCTCCCTCCCTCTACTTACACAACTGGTGGTAGCCACCAACCTGCCTCCAGCCAAATGCTTGTCAGGAAGATGCATTGACTCAAAAAGCAGCAATAAAATATTTAAGGAATGGCTAGTCCATTGGTATATTTTATATTTTTTAATTTGCACTATATAAAGCCTTTCTGTGGGCTTGAGCAAGGAATCAAAACTCTTTCCTTTAGTTTTTACTAGAAACAGACACACATTTCATTACTGGAAATTATTTCAGTCCTGTTATTGATTTGTTTTTATCGATGGCTTTGGGAGCTTTTGGCAAAAGACCATGGGTATAAAAACAGGGGAAAGAAGTAGATCTCAGCAATATTGTTTTGATTCCACGCACCCAATGACCATGTGGCCATAGATTAATGGGAAACTGATGTTATTTATCTTTGTCTGCCAGCACAGCTCTGAGGCAAACCCATATCAAGCACTGAGAAACAAATGGGGGCTGTGCAGCTGCTCTGTGCTGTTATCAGAACCAGCCTCTGGTTCTGAGGTCTTCCAAGGTCACTTCTGATTGCTTTGGATGGGACACAATGGCATAAGCATGACCTCCCATCTAGATTATATTTGTTATGACCTGTCTTTTATGTCTTTGATCTAATTAGGGCTATTGTGATATCCCATTATTTGTAAAGAGTCTGTATTTGTAAGAGACATTCTGATCTTTGTTCTTACTTTCAGTTCTGTTCTTTCACTTTCAGCATTGCTGAGTCAAAAGGATGCCTAAATCTCCTCCTAAGTTACCCTGGGTCTTAAAATCTCCCTAGTGTGCCTGCAAGGGCAGATGTGGGCTCAGCAGAAGAGGAGACAGTCTCCAAGACCAAGTGTAGAACCTGGTGGTGCTGAGTGTGGTGCTCCAGAACCAGCTCCCCCTGATGCTTTCCAGGTATCCCTGCTGCTCTTCCCATTCCCCACCTGTTCTTCCTGTCCTTCTCCTACAGGTTCATAATAGTTATTTACCAGAAAAGTCTCTGACATGTCCAGTGAAGGAAATCCTACCCATTTCTGAGAGTGAGGATGAGGAGCTTGTTTGCTCTAAGAGAGGAAGAAAGGAGCAGAGACTACCTGTGACTTGATGCTGATCATCTCCCCTCCTGGCTTTGGTGGCTCAGCAAAGGTGAGGCATTTTCTCCCAGGTTTCTCCAGAGCATGGAAAGCAGTGTGATCTTGGGGATGTCTGTGGAGAGTGAGATTTTCCCAGTTCTAGGAAGTGCTGGCACTGGACATGCTGTTTCTTTGATGGGCTTTGTGCTCTGGCCAGTGCATTTACTGCAGAGAGCTGCTGCAAGGGCAGCATACCAAGGGCTTGACTCAGCCCTTGCTTTGCTTTTCATGGGCTCCCAGTCCCGTAGAGCCAAGATGCTTGGCTAGCCCAAGGTCATCTCCTGAGGTGCTCAGATGCTGCAGAGAAGTGCAAACCCCTTAATTTCACATGTGGAAAGGGGATTTCTGTGGAGGACGAGTGGATAGCCAGTCCCAAATCACTCTGAAGGAGGCCCAGTGTGGTGCATGTTGCCTTCTCCCTCATCCATCAACCCTGCTCTGGCCTGATGCAAGAAGTCTGATAACCTTTTTCAAAGGACCAAAGGGAACAATCTGAATCACTTGAGGATGAATCAAGTTTGGATGGATTCCCCACAAGCAGGCTTGGCAGCTGGCCTAGCACCCTTCCAAAAGGATTAACCTGTTCTGTTCTATGACAGCAACTGGGAGAAGAGCTCTTCTCAGAGTGGCTTGTGCTTCCAGACTGGAGCCCACCATGCTCTGCACAGCTGAGGGTTTTTGGGGAAGGCACATCAGGTACCAAGCACAATGTTCCTGGCAGCTGGGGACACAGATGAAGTCCATGTGCCTGAGGAGTAGGCTGAGGTGAAGGGGGCAATGACAGTGGTCTGCAGGAGCTTTAGCTGAGCTGTTTTCTGTGATTTCCCTCCTCATCACTTGTCTGTGATGCATTTCCCACCACCGAGTGACTTCTGGTTCTTCTCTCTGAGTTCAGTGAGAATTTTGCTATGGACATAAAAGGAAGAAATACCTGCCCATTTTAGGACTTTGAGCAACCAAGAGTCACAAGCTAAACCTCCAAATCTGGTAGAGATGCTGGGTTTGAGTGTATGAGAAGATCATAGAATATGCTGAGTTGGAAGGGACCCACCAGGATCATTCAGCCCAGCTCCTGGCCCTGCAGAGGTCACCCCAAAGATCACACCATGGTCCTGGGAGCATTGTCCAAACACTCCTTGAAATCAAACTGTTGGAGTCAGATGGTCAGGAGTGGTCAGGCTCCAGTTACCTCAACAGGGGCATTTAGTGGTATTTGGGATACCTTTGGAATTACTGATCAGCAGGTTCAGAAGGTCATGGATCTCCTGTAGTTCCTGAGGGGACAAATCTTCCATCCCCAGGTGGACTTCCCAGACACTGGCATGAGACAGTTTTGAAGCTTGGAGCTTGGACAGGCTGTGAGATGCAGGGCAGTGGCTCTCATCCTTCTGAGGCTGGGTGTCCCAGTTTCTCAGCTTGCCACTTCTAGTCACTTCTTGTAGCTCTGTTAAGGAATTTTGGGCAGGATAGTCTAACTTTACATGGATAATGCTTCAATTTGGGAAATAGCAGATGTATATCTTCAGCATGGAATGTATTCCAACTTCACACCCCTTCTGGCTGGAAGGAAAGTACAGGTGCTCACATGGACAGTCTGTATGTACTGACTATAAACCTTTTTTCTCTCTTAAGCTCTTCCTCCTTCAAAGGTGCTGAACTTTTGGGTTGAAAGATGAATTTCCAGGAGGTAGGACATGTGTCAAGTAGGACATGCAGCAAACCCAAGCAACAAAACATGTTCTTCCCCACCCAACCCTTGCTGTGTAATTCTAATGGTACCCACACCCATAAACCCTTTGGCCAGGTGGCTGGAAATTCATCTCACTGTCTCCAGGGGTTCAGCTCTGGCTGGAGACCCAGATGTGTGGGAGTCTCCATGTCCGTGTATCCATGTGTACTAGCTCTGAACTCCCATTATACCTTGCAAAGAGAAACCAGCCAAAAATGTCTTCATTCACTTGCAAATGTGTGGGTTCCTAACACTGTGTGAGATGCTGGGAAGCATCTCCCTTAGAATCTTGGAATGGAAGAATCATTAACGTTGGAAAACACCTTTTAAGAGCATCAAATCCAACTCAGCCTCCAGCTGCTCACAGCGATTGGGTTTTTCAAATCCTGCTTCTTGTTGTCCTAAAGTTTCCACCTCTAAAACATCCCCAAGGAGCCAGGAAAAACAACCCAGGTATCTCCAACACTCCTCCAGCTTCTCAGAAGCAAAGGAACAGCACAGCCTGGGCCACTTGTCCCCCTCCTTTCCCCAGCTTTTCCAAGGGAACACTCTGGCCTGTCCTTCTGCAGCGCTTCGTGACACCAGTTCCTCTGAAGGCAACACAACCACAGGGCAGAGGCGAGGCACATTCCTGATAGGACCAAGATAGCTTTTTCCCATAGCTCCCAGGCAGTGGGAACAGGGCACTTTTTCAAAGGACTGCTGTGCCTAAAGTTAAAATAACAGGAGGAACAGAGTGGCAGATCCAAGCTGGATTAGAGTGCTTGGGGCTCAATTCCTTCCAATTGAAGTAGAGAAGAGAAGATGACAAAAGGATGCACTTGGTGAGTTTCCAAAAATACTTATGTGACCATTTTGATATCTCTTTGGTCTCATAGCACCACAGGAATAAATCTGCCTGATTTGAGTTTGTACACACAATCCAAACTACAGCTTTGTTTTGTTAACAGGGATTACCCAGGCCTGTGGTTTTGTTGTTGTTTCCAAAAGACTTCTCCTGCTGTTGGGGTAGATGAGTCCCTCTTCCCCCTGAGTCCCTCTTCCTACCCCCCCATGGAAGAACAATATTGATATAAAGTCTAAAACACTTAAAATCAGATGGGCTGAGTGTTGTTTTATGACTTGGAAGCCCCAAGCTATCTTTGTCCCTCTGATTTTTCCATAATTTTACAAGTAATGGAAAATCTTGTCTCCTTTCAACCTATAAATCTCCATCAGCTACAGAAATGCCTCTCATGAGAGAATAAATATATGGGTGCTCTGGGGTCACCATGGTGTTGTAGGTGACAATCTTTGAAGCTTTCACAATGGAGCCTATAAGAGCAAGGAAGGGGAAAATCTGCTCCTTGTTATTTTAAAGCTATATCTTGAAAAACAGGAACTCGTGCCAGGACAGTTTATTTTGGTTAAAGCCAAGTTGTGCAGCAATTCCCCTGAGGGAAGACTGAACTTGAGAGCAGAGAGCAGGAGAGAGACAAGCTTGGGGGGAGACTGAGTGTTTAATCAATGCTGAGTGATTGTTGATGCTTGGGAGCATCAGCACCAGTTTTGGATCAGGTGAACAATGTTCTCCACAGATGTCCAGAGAACTGCAAGCCATGAAGAACATTGGGAATTTAAGTCACAGCTGAACTCACCTTGTCCAACACCTCAATGTCACTGCAGCTCAGCCTTTGTGCTGTTTTGTCTTCATGTGTCCCACCATGGCTGGAGCTGAAGGGATGCACAGGCTGTGTCTGCAGCAGTAAATCACTCAGGAGCATCCCAGGAGCATAAAAATCATCTGTAGAACTAAACTGTATGGGCTACAAGGCAGGGACTGGCTGAGCAAAGTCCCTCCCACTGCAGGAGATCGGGTTTGTGACAACCTGAGGATTCTGAACATGCATAAGTCTGTGAGACCTGACAAGAGGCATCCCAAAGTCCTGGGGGAATTGGTTGAGGCAGTTGCCAAGCCACTCTCTAAGATATTGAAATAGTCATGGCAATCAGTGAAGTCCCCAGGGACTGAAAAAAGGAAACAATTGAACTTATTTTTAATGAGAATAAAAAGAGTGACCAGGAGGACCCTGGGAATGACTGACCTGTCAGCCTAACCTCTTCTATCACCACAAAGTCTTGTGATGAGGATTTTCACAGGATGACAACACATCACATGAAGAACTGACTTGCATTTTGCCTTGAAGATTCCTTGTTTTAGTTTCATTAGATTTCCCTAGATTTTGCATTAAAAGAGACAGTGAAAAAATCTCTACCCTTGCTGTTCCTTTCGTGGTTTTATAAATCTCTGCATCCTTCCTATTGCTCTCTCTTTTTTTTTTTTCCCAGCCTGAAAAATCCTGGCATGCAATTCACTCCTAACTTTCAGTGTGCTGAAATCCGAGATGATGTTTTCATGGTGCTTCCAAACCAAGATCTTGTTCCAGCCCATCCTTTCAATCTGTGTTTTGAAACCCCTCTTAATCCACTTCCCATCCTTCCCTCATGGAACTAGCAGCACAGCTTGATCCTCAGAGCAGCTAAATTTTCCATCCAGAGAGCTGTGATCATTTCATGGAGAGACAGAAGGCAGCAGAGATAAATGTCAGTGGCAACATGTGGCTGTAAAATGTGAGCAGCAAAAGCAAAATTCACCCAAAGCCTGTGAGAATACGTGTCACCTCCTCCTTGTTCACCTGCCAGGGACATGGAAAAGCAGCTGCAATTCAGGGAGGCAGCACGAGCTGTGGGATTTGAAATCACACCCTGGGCTTTGGAGCCAAATCTCTGCAACTACAAACTCCAACAAAGTGTGTGAGAGCTGTGAGCAGGAATCACCCTGGCCACACAACCCCACTCCTTCCAGAAACACCACAACTGCTGCCAGGGCCCTGGGGACTTCTGCAGATGTCCTCTGGAGAACTGGACAAGCTGGCATTGCCTGGAAAGGGAAGAAAGCTTATCCTACTAGAAAACAGATCAAAGCTACCCTGAGACACAGCAGTGGAAAACATTGGAGGAGGAAATTGCAGAAAACTCATTCTAACCTTTGGATAAGACTCAGCAGGATAAATTTTTCCTGTTCTTCAGACTTCTCTTTGCAATGGTTCTGGAGGGGTTGTCACTGTGGGTGTTGTGCCTGTCACCAGGTGGGAGGGAATGGATGAGAAACAAATGATCAATGAGAAGCAATGATCAATGTTCAGTGAGAAGCAATGATCAATGTTCAGTGATCCTCCATCCTGCTGGGCTTGGGTACTCACGTGCTGGATGCTCTTCTCCCATCCAACATGTTTGGAAAAAACCAGTTTTTCCTTTTCCAGAATTCCTGGATAACTCATTCCTACTCCACACTTGTTTGTCCCTTTGTGTACCCTTGTTTTATTTTTATACTCTGGAGAAGTAGATGTTTGGAGAGAGAGCTGGTGGGTCTGAAGTGCTGCATCATCTCATCTCATCTCATCTCATCTCATCTCATCTCATCTCATCTCATCTCATCTCATCTCACCTCCAAAGGATTTTCTGTCTCAGGAGAGTTTTCCTTTCCATCCTCTTCTCACCAGCCAGATTCTTTTTCTGGGAATTGCCTTCCTGAATCTGCCAATCCCCTTTTGCCATATCTGCTGTATTCCCTGGCTGCAAAAAGAGAGTTTTCCTGAATTGTCTTCCTGAATTTTCCTGACTTGTCTTCCTGAATCTCCCAATCCCTTTTTTCCCTATCTGCTGTATTCCCTGGCTGCAAAAACAGAATTTTCAAGCTGCTTGCCACAGTCAGGATTGACAAACCCTTGTCAGGAAATCGCGGGACATGAAAGGTCTGCTGAGAAGGCAGATTGTCATTACAGACCAAAATATTCCCATTGAGGACTTTGGCAGTTAAAAACATGTAGTTTAATGGCTCTAAGAGTTAATTACTGCACTCCTGTGCTTTTATTTTATTTCATTTCACTATATTATATTATATTATATTATATTATATTATATTATATTATATTATATTATATTATATTATATTATATTATATTATATTTATTTTATTACTCTATTTTATTACTTACTTTAATTTTATTACATTTTTGCTCTCTAAAAGAATCCTCAGCCTTTTTTTTTTTTTCATTTTTTTTCCAATTAGAAAAAAAATGTCATCTCAAAACATAAAAGCAAAAATTCTGATTTGGCTGCAATTAGATGAAAATGAACATCTTAGTCAGGATTAAACTGAGAGAGGTTGCTGCACCACAGCCCTTCCCATGTCTGGGTCAGCAGGGATGTGTTCCCTGGACAGTCTGCCCTGCAGCATGTGCACCACAATTTGGGGACATGGGAATGACCAGGGGGTTGCCATATGGAGAAGGACCCGTGCCTGTGGATGGGAGCTGTGGGGTAGGGGATGGTGTGGGACAGGGGTACCCCAAGGAACCCTTGTGGGGAGCGCTGTGGGGCAGGCTGGGTCTGTGCCCAGCATGGGCAGGGGATCAGGGGAGCAGCCAGGGCTGGTGGCAGAGCAGAGAAAAAGGCAATTTTTGGCATTGGCTTTCCTAGTGCAGGAAATGTGAAGTTCCAAGTCCCCTTATAAGGAAGAGCAGAAGAGGAGCCATGAATCATGGCAGGGCACGAGCTGGAGAAGGATTGCAGGGCACACGTGCTGGAGAGGTTGGGCTGGGAGGATTCACAGCAAACCTGGAGCAGCATGAGGTGCCTTTGTCCTCCTACAACCTGGGAGAGCCCTGAGGACCTGGGGACTGAGGATGTGGGAAGAGAAAAATCCCTTGGGTGGGACTACAGGCCATTCTTCTCATGGGGAGGGATGAAGGAAGGCTGCTGGGCTGTGTCCAGCCTCACCAAATGTGAATTTGTGCCTCCTCCTGTGCTGTTTTCTTTGTGGGTGCTTTGAGCAGGGTTACTCTGACGCACCTGAGCCTGTGGGGGGACCTGACCCCAGCCCAGGTGAGGGATGAACAGGTACAAGGACATTTGGAACAGGATCCCCAGGAAAGTGGGCACAGCACCAAGCCTGACAGAGTTCAAGAACTGTTTGAACAACAATCGCAGGAACTTTGTGGTGTTCTTGTGATTGTCCTGTGCAGGGCCAGGGGTTGGACTTGATGACCCTTGTGGGTTGCTTCCAACTCAGGATATTCAATGATTCCATGGCTTGATCTCTCTCTTCCTATCAGGGCTAAAACAAGACTGCAAATCTTCAGAGTCACTGGCAGATCTCCTGACTTCAGCAGCCTCAGGATTTGCATCATTGCTGGGTAATTTGCCCAGAACAATTCTGGGAGGAAGTATTAAGGAAAAGGATCCTGTAGATGACCAGTGGCCAGCCATCACATATGAGTCTCTGGATGGTCTTATTCACCATCTGTATTAAATCCAGATGTGCACAGATTGAAAAATATATTTGAGGAGCATTTACTGACCTGACAAAGTGAAATAATTTCCCCCAGACTTCCCATTTGAAATGACTTGTTCCCATCTTTCTTCTCCTTTGTAGCAGAACCTGTGGGATTGCAGTTGGAAGGGAAGAGATGGGGCAGCTTGATGGAATGATGTATTAGCATTTTTTTTCTATTCCTGGCTGGAAAAATCACTCTCACCACTTCCAGGGCAGAAGCTCATGAGAAAGCAGGAGTTCTTGGAAGTCCCCATCCAGTGCAATGGAAGGTGTGCCAGCCCTGTGGGACATGGGAATGGCCTGGCAGCATGGGCCATGTGCCACACAGTACCTAAACCCAGCTCTGAGCATGAGACTGTGCCACCAGACCCAGCCCTGGGACTGCACAAGCTCTGTGCCACCAACAGCTCTGTGCAGAGCATGTTTGGAGCCAGTGGCTTCAGAAAGCATAGAATCATTAAGGCTGGAGAAGACCTCTAAGATGATCAAGTCTATTGACCCAGCACTGCCCAGTCCACCACTGAGCCATGTCCTTAAATGCCACATCCATGTTTTTTTAGTACTTCCAGGAATGGTGATTCTACTACTTCTCAGGGCAGCTTCTTCCAGTGCCTGAGCATCCTTTCAGCGAAGAAATTTTTCCAATATCCAATCTAAACCTGCCCTGGAACAACTTGAGGCCATTTCCTTTCATTCTGTCCCTTGTCACCTGGCAGAAGAGACTGGCTCTGGTCTCTTTTCAGAGAGTTTTACAGAGTGATGAGGTCCTCTCTGATCCTCCTCTTCTCCTGGGATCTTGGGTTTGCTCTTGGGAAAAGTGTGGATGCCCTTGGCAGGGGCACTGCACGACCAAAGGGCTGGATCCAGAGGGAAGGAGCAGCCGCTGGTTTGTGCTGGACACAGGATGGATGCAGCTTTGGGGGTGTTTGGATTTTATTTGGTCGTATCTGGTTTTCTTAGCTGGTGTCAGGACCAGTGTGAGGATGGTTCTGCACTGGCTGCAAACCCATATTTCCTCCTTAGTAGAACCCCCAAATCTTCCAGAGTTTGTGGCAAAGGGTGTTTCAGTGAGCATCTCACTTGCCATAAGTTATGTTTCACTGGAAAAGTGTTTGGTTTTGCTTTGAAGGATAAAGAACTGGCAAATCCACCCCTTCCCATTACTGACTTGTTTTAGTGTTTTATTATCTGTATTGTTTAAGCATGTGCTTAATTTTTCTTTTGAAGTTGTTTGGTTTCCTAAACACAAGCTTGAGCCATGCTGTCAGACATTAAATCTTTGCTGCAGACACTCCAGAGGTCTGTGCTGACCTCACCTCACTCTTCTTTTGCTGTAGACAGCTGACCACTGGGGCAGAACAGCTGATCTATCCTGATGTAAATCAAAGCACAAACATTGCCCCAACCTATTTTTATTTGGCCAAGAGAGATTATTGAGTACAACTGTGATTACAGGAATGCCATGGCTGACCTGTGTGAAATCTGGGCTGCTGAGAGGCACAGATAATCCTGCATGATGCTGTTATGAATCTCACCATCACAGCATGACCTGTGGTGGGCACAAATCCAGTGCAGGTACGAGGCAGGGTCAGTGTGCAAATACACACAAGCACAGGCAGGTCTGGTATTCCCAGCTTTCTGTGCTGAGCCCAGAAAGGGTCTGGGTGGGGAAATAGAGTCACTGTCCCCATTGCCACGTTTGTGCCTCTGCTTTTGGACTTGTGTCCCTGTACCTTGCATTCTCCCCAGGTTCATGTAGCTCAGTTTTGCCCTCCAGCAAGCTGTGTTGCATTTCTCAAACTCCTCTTTATCAACTGAGGAACCAGAGAGCATCCTGAATAAAAGCTAGAGAGCAGGACACTGACCAGAAAATTGCAATTTTGCCTCAAGTAGTTGGGTATGAGCCAGATTTGCTCTGTGTCAAATCTTGATTTTTCATTGTGCATTCAGCACTGTCAGGTAACCTTTTTAATTTTTATTTTTATTTTTAAATTTTTTAAAATTTTATTTATTGCTGTTTTGAAAACCTGACACTACCCATGGCTTTGCTGTGGTTTTCTCCAACCGCACCTGCCACAGAGGGATTTGGCTGCCAAAAAGAACAAAAATACTGATCTCAAAGCCTCTAGCTGTGCTGGCTTTCCATCCTTGCCCTGCTGCAGGAGAGGTGGCTGAGAGGCAGCCATCTCCGGCTCCTGTAGCTCATGTGGAAAGCTTACTCTGCACCCACTCTTATCTAAACACGTCTAAGCCCCAGCAAGCTGCTTCAGCTCCACTGGCTTTACACTTCAGGCTGTTTTGAAAGTGAATTTGTAAAGACATTAACATTATTTAAACAGTTTAGCCACAGAATTACCCAGTGGTGCAATCCAGCTGCCAGAAGAGGAGACGCAGGGCTCTTTTGCACTGTGGATCAAACAAAACTTGGCCAAAGCACGTGGGCCCTGGAGGATGCCAAAAGCAGGGGTGATGGAGGGAGTGAGAGCTCACTGGCTTTCCTCTTGGCAGGAAATCTCATCAAGTGTTGGGTTGTAATTTTTTTTTTATGAGCTCGTTTGTGTCCAAATCGGACCAAAACCAGATTTGTTTCCCCTTGGAGCTTCTGGAAGACTGGAAGGAATCAGGCTCCTGGTTGTCCTGATGCAGCTGGCTCCCCAGGGAGCGCATTTCAGCTGGTGGGTCCAGGCCTTGGGCTAGGGACATGTGGGGATTGCAGGGTTTGCAGACAGGGCTTCCCACGTCCTAAATCTCGTGGCAGACCTCATCTCTTCTTGGGCAACATCCCCCCAGCTCCTGGTTTCCCCTTTAGCTCAGGAAAATTCCTTTTGCAGTGCATAAAATGTTCAGGGGAAACATGCTCAAGACTTTGGGGAAAGACTCTGGAAATGGAGCTTTTTCAGACAGTTGCAGATAATCAGTTCCTCCAAGCTGAACATGTGACAAGGGTGATGGGAGTGGTGAGGCTTTGGCTCAGGTTTCCCAGTGAATCTGTGGCTGCCCCATCCCTGGAATTTTCAAGGTTGGGTGGGACTCTCACCAACCTAGTCTAGTGAAAGGTGTCTGTGCCCATGGCAGGAAGTTGGAACTGGTTATCTTTAGGTTGCTTTCCAACCCAAATAATTCCATCCTCTGTGACTCTAGGGCATGTTCCTTGTCCTGATGCAACTATAAAAAAATTGATAAAGCATAGAGGAGTGGAGAAACTGAGGCACAGACACTTCAGATGACATCTCTGAGAATTAAAGTGGGTTTTCTACAAAAGTCAAGCTTTCCTCCTGCAGACCCCACTGTCACATTGTATGTGACACTCAAGGCAAGATCTTTCATATTCTAATAATGCGTATGAGGGCAAATGGTTAAAAACAAACCAAAGTCGAGTTGTCAACCTTGCTGAGGAGTCTGAATCAGGATTGTTTTTTCTTACTTCTCTTTTTCTCTTGGCTGCTGTCTTAGGACAAGCCCTGAAATTTGTCTTAGTTTGCAATAAAACATGATCTTATTTACCAGCATTCTTCCTTTTGAG